AGACTTAAATTTTAATAGCCACATCAAATCAGTAACATCAGCAGCTTTTTACCATCTAAAAAACATTGCCAGGATCAAAAACATAGTGTCTAAAGCAGACTTGGAGATTCTTATCCATGCATTTGTCTCCAGTAGGTTAGACTACTGCAATGGCCTGCTCACAGGTCTGTCCAAACAGGCTGTAAAACAGCTGCAGTACATTCAAAATGCAGCAGCTCGAGTCCTGACAAGAACCAGGAAGTACGACCACATTAGTCCAGTCCTCAGGTCTCTGCACTGGCTTCCTGTGGCTCAGAGAATAGACTTTAAAACAGCTCTGCTTGTGTACAAGTCTCTCCATAGCCTCGCACCAAAATTATATTAGTGACATGTTAGTCCCATATGAACCAGCCCGGACTCTGAGGAGCACAGGGACTGGACTCCTGTTAGTGCCCAGAGTCAGAACTAAACATGGGGAGGCTGCTTTTCAGATTAATGCTGCTAAAATCTGGAACAGTCTTCCTGAAGATGTGAGACAGGCCTCCTCTCTGACAATGTTTAAAACCAGGTTAAAGACGGTTCTGTTTAACTGTGCATACAACTGAGGGATTTTATATTTTTATCTTTCTTTTTAATGTTCTGTGATAATTTATGATTTTAATGCTTTCTTGTTTTGTTCAGCACTTTGAATTGCCTTGTGTATGAATTGTGCTATATAAATAAACTTGCCTTGCCTTGCCTGTTTGCCGACGATGTTTTCCTGTTGGCCCCAACGAAGCCAGCAAGCCACCACCAGTGAGCAAGCCAGATCGTGCAGCAGGAGAGCGGGGAGCTCTTCCTGTCTGAGAGTTCCGCTCAACCGCTATAGCTCGCGCTGCATTAAGCGACCTCAGGCCTGGGCTTCCAAGGTGGGTGTGAGTGGGAGAGCTTGCTACTATTGAAGATCGGACCCTCTCCGGACTGCCCCCTTTTAATTCCTTTTAACCCTTTTTTTTAATGCCCCATTTAACCTTTTTAATTTATTGTACTAAAATTACTGTTACCCTTTTTAACATCTTGTTTAATTGGAAACACAGGTCTTTTAGTTCCATGTTACTCAGCACGACAGCACTTTCATATTGCAATTTTAATCTTCCCCGTTTCACCAAGCCTCCCCCCCATTACACGTCAAATACGAGTGAGTGGCTCTCATGCACGTGCACCATAGACTGTATATATTAATGGACAGAGTCACGCCTATTTCCGCCGTTCATAGGAGTTGGCCATGAAAAGTGCTTTCATGGAGCAATCAAAGATGGCCGCGAGTGGTCCCGCCCACAAAAAATTGTGAAAAAACGCATCTGCGCATGCGTCAGCCGGCGCAGCTCCATTCATTTGAACGAGAGACTTCAAAAATTCACAGCAAGTAAACTAGAGTGGACCAAAAAAAAATCACCCCCCTCAGCATTGACACACATGTGGAACGGAGCTTTGGGCCGAGAGCCAACTTTTGGTCCATCCTGTAAAGACGTTTTTGAGAGGTCTGCCAACGCTATATGTTAGCATTGGCTAATTCTTCTTCTGGGTCCACCCCCATCGGCCCGGGGTGGTATTGCAAGCATGTCAGCGCACGTCATTTTGGCCACTTTTGAGCTGGGACCCGCCCCCACTGACGTGCACAGAGGGGCTCGGCCGTGCTTTGACCAATCAGAGCTGATGCTCAGAGCAGCGGTAGAGAGGAGCGAGAGTGGAAAGGAAAACGAGCAGAGTTTGTGGCAGTAAAGTCTGGATTTAAAGAAAACTAAAGGATTTCCCAAGAAAAAAGTTCAGGATCATCACGAGACCTTCTCCACCGACTCCCAATGATGTCTGCTGTCATTGTGTCCTTGGGCAAGACACTTAACCCCACTTTGCCTGAAGCCCCCGCTGAAAGATCAAGGCTCCTGTGGACTCATCACCTGCAGGAGGAAAAGTGAGGGGCTGGTGCTCTGTGAACTGGGTGCAGCTCTGACTGCCACCCCTCTGACCCAGAAATGGATTAAGGGGAAGTAAATGGATGGATCGCTGGAAAATTTCAGGATGACAAGGAACACTAAAATCCCCACAAAATCCGACCTTTATGAAAGCTGTAGGTTCTCAGTGAAATAAATGTTAACAAGGAAATACATCTAACTTGTCTTTCAAAAGAACCACAACAAACTATAAATTATTAGTGTGTATGTGTGTGTGTGAGTGTGTGTGTGTGTGTGAGGGGCCTGGAGAGTGTGTGTGTGTGTGTGTGTGGCCTAGAGACTATGTGTGTGGGGCCAGGAGAGTGAGCCAGTCTGCCTCAAAGTGCCGCTGCCTCTGAGCCACAGCACTTTGCCAGAGCACTTTGCCAGAGCGGTGTGTGAACTCGTCCTGGGGGACTCGGCTCATTTACATAATCACGGTTAATGCGACGGCGCAGGATCTGTCACTGCGCTCCAGCGGATTACAGCGAGAGATTCTATTACAGGCTTTTAATGAAGAGGAGTGTGTGTCTGCCTGTGTGTGTGTGAGAAAGAGAGAGAGAGAGGGGTGTGTGTGTGTGGGTTTGTGACAGAGAGACAGAGAGAGAGAGAGAGAGGGAGGGAGGGGTGTGTGTGTGTGTGTGTGTCCATTGGGACTCATTAAACATGATTTAATTTGGCGGCGAACGAGACAGAGGAGAAAATACAACATGGTCTCCTGTGACTCCAATAGAAGTGAAGCATTTGACCTGTTTAAAGCTGGGGTCTGTAACTTTAGCCTCATAAATAACACACCCCCCGTTTAGACGAAGCCCTGTTTAGACGAAGATGCTGCGGCAGTAAAACGGGTTAGCTCGATATCGGTTGCTACCTCCTGATCACGTGGAGACTGTGTTCCAGGGGAGTGAAAACGTAAGCATTAAGATCCAGCTACAGAGTGGGACAGAACAGATACGACAGAACAGAACAGATACGCTCTGGTTCGTTAATAAAAAGGTGTGCATTCTCTGCTGCTATGACCACCACTTCTCCGCACATACATTTGGACATGTGCAGTAGCCGAAAACAAACGTAAACGGCGGCGACGGGTCAAGTATCTAGCTACGTGTGCTTCGAGCGCTACACGGAAGAGAATTCTACTCCTTTGTCCAAATGAAACCACGTGAAGCTGTAGTTTCAGTTTCCATTTTTGCAGCTGCAGTCAAATGCAGAATGATGTAGGTGCATTCTTTCACGTCTTTGCGGCGCCTGAGGGGGATGTTGTTGAGGAAGTGAATATACTGCTGGGGGGACGCTGGGGCTCACGTGTGTGTTGTAAAGTTCCTCTGCCCACTACTGGCCTGGCGCTAGAACTACATCGTTTCCATCCTCGTATGAACGCTGTGCAATTTGCATAAGAAGCCTGGCTGTTTCTGGTAATTGCTTTGCAACGTCTGCACCTAAATGGGGCCTTAGTCACGTCCCCCGCTTTAAAGTCTAGTACCTCAGCTTTAACTCCAGATGGATCTCAAGTGAACACACTTTTTAAACTTTATAATCAGAGACCGACAACCGTTTGCGCTTTGTGAATAATGGTGTTTCCATGATGACGCGACAAGCAGCTCAGGGGGCGGAGCCACTCCAAACACATTACATCATCAGGAATTATAGCTTTATGAAGTGCTGATGCGGTAGATCAATACTGCATCAACAGGACGGATGAGGACCATATGGAGACAGTCAAGGCACGAGGACCATACGGAGACAACTATAATGGTCATCTGTTTGACTTTTCTGTCTGATAAAAAGAAAGTAAAGAGTTCCATTGATTCTTAAAATCACGTACCCAGCTTTAACGAATATTATAAGTTGTTATTGTTATACGAGAAAGAGGTAATGTCTCTTGATAGCCCAAGACGACAGAGAACCTATGTACACTTGAAGCCGGGTATTTTTAAAACCGAATACCCCCCTCTGTTGATAAAATCAACATTACCTCATTTTCGAAAAAAAAGTCTTTTTTTGTATTTTCAATCACATTCATAAAAGCGTTCCAAACCTGTAGATGCCAAATCCTACCCCATCAGAATAGCCCTCTGTTGGCTATTAGGCTGAGTTCCCACCATAGACTGAAGGACGGAGGGCGGAAGTGGTGGACGGACTTTGATGCTAACTAAACGTGTGTGCTACAACGTCCATGCAATTCCCATGGATTTATAATAATGCCTGGATAGGGTATCACTAGCTTATAGCTGTCCCACCTATGGGCACAGGGGGCGCCAGTGGTACTGCAGACTAAATTCTCATGGGTTACTCAGAAAAAAGTCCCATAGAACTCAATGTAAACTATAACAGCTCGACCTCAGCTGACAGAGGACCTACAACTTTCATAAAGATCGGATTATGTGGGGATTTTAGTGTCCCTTTTCATCCTGAACTTTTTTTGTTCTTGCTACTACTACTGCTGCTGTAACTGCTGCTGCTGCTGCTGCTGTTGTTGTTACTGCTGCTGCTCTTTCCTGTCACAGCTGCCCTGGGGCGTGTGTCTCTTTGTTTGCACTAATCACATAAAGTCAATCAGACACAATCAGACACGCTCGTTAGTCCTAATGAAGAGTGGGAGTAAACACTGCAGGCTGAGGCCCCACAGAGACAGGTGTGGCTCCAACACACTGTAAGAGACACAGCGCCACCTACTGGTCCTCTCTCTAATCTAACTATGTGACAGACGCAAGAAACAAATGTGAAACTAGTGACAGAAGCAACTGTTTAAGAGCCAGTACAAGAGACAGGGGTTAAATACCGAGTTCTGTTGGTCTGAGCGATACAGAAGCCAGCTTTAAAGTGACAGACCCCAGCTCTAATGTCCGCAGCACATTTGATCCAGGCATGATCCATGATCCACAAGACCGCACATTTCTAGTATAAGGCTTATCCGTGTGCTCTCAGGTGTCTCTGTGTTTGTGTCTCAGAGGATCCTCTCGGTGTAGAGATCATTATGAAACTTCATCTCACAGAGCTCTCACTCAAACACATAGAATTAGGACTAGTTTCACATAATGTATTTGTGATGTCACATCTTTAGATCAAAGAGGACCACCCTCACTCAGCCAATCAGCCCAAAGAGGCAGATACTGACTCTCAGGGATCTTTCTCACACAAAAGACAGACTAGAGTTACAGACCCCAGCTTTTAACCTTGGGGCCACATCTAAAGCAGAGTCCATGGAAATGAGGCTGTTCCATATTAACGGCAGTAAATGAGTCATTATAGATATTAGAGCTAACAACGAGAGACAGCCGTGAAGCTAACCACAGGAGACAGCTCCGCTAACCATTACCATCAAAGCGTCAGACAGCCTGCAGACACACACACCACAGCTGAGCTCACTCTGCAGAGGAGCAGGGAAGTCTGGCCCATTCCTCCTGCTGCACTCGTTATGGAGAGGTGTGGGGAACTCCAGCCCATTCCTCCTGCTGCACTCGCTATGGAGAGGTGTGGGGAACTCTGGCCCATTCCTCCTGCTACACTCACTATGGAGAGGTGTGGGGAACTCTGGCCCATTCCTCCTGCTGCACTCGCTATGGAGAGGTGTGGGGAACTCCAGCCCATTCCTCCTGCTACACTCACTATGGAGAGGTGTGGGGAACTCTGGCCCATTCCTCCTGCTACACTCACTATGGAGAGGTGTGGGGAACTCTGGCCCATTCCTCCTGCTACACTCACTATGGAGAGGTGTGGGGAACTCCAGCCCATTCCTCCTGCTGCACTCGCTATGGAGAGGTGTGGGGAACTCTGGCCCATTCCTCCTGCTACACTCACTATGGAGAGGTGTGGGGAACTCTGGCCCATTCCTCCTGCTACACTCACTATGGAGAGGTGTGGGGGAACTCCAGCTCATTCCTCCTGCTGCACTCGCTATGGAGAGGTGTGGGGAACTCTGGCCCATTCCTCCTGCTACACTCACTATGGAGAGGTGTGGGGAACTCTGGCCCATTCCTCCTGCTACACTCACTATGGAGAGGTGTGGGGAACTCTGGCCCATTACTCCTGCTGTAACTACAGTTTTAAGCCTCCTTGCTCTCAAAGATTTATCATAACACAATATAATATATAGAGATTGGTGTCAAACGGGCAAACCAGACCACACAGACAGAGAGAGACCAAAGAAAGAGACCAGCGAGAGAACAGAGAGAGACAAGAAAGAGACAAAAGAGAGACCAGAGAGAGACCAGAGAAACCCAGAGAAAGACCGAGAGAGAGACCACAGAGAGACCATTGAAATGTACAGTGGGGCAAAAAGCGTATTTAGTCAGCCACCAATTGTATGTCTTTGTGTGTTTGGGCGTGCATGTACTGTTTGTGTTTGTTTGTGTGGTTACATCTACAGAGTGTTGTTCTGTTTAGTCCAGCGAGCGCTGTAACCATAACTGGACTTTGCCGCTGGCTCCTGGTGTGTACTCAGAGATAGTTTTAGCAATAGTCCACTTTTCTGTGGCTTTTTTGGGGTGCACCGCTGGTCTGCTGCTCTAACCCTCACATGGGGTGCTGCTCTGACCCTCCACATGGTCTGTGTCAGCTCTGGAGACACATTTACTGCTCAAACTGCCTCCAAATGTAGCCTGACCTGGACTATATTACTCCATGCCTGCTTCACCTCTGTCTCTCCTGCTCAGAGTGCTCAGGCAGTGATCTTTGACCTAGACACCCACAGAGCTCTGCTGCCACCTGCTGGCTTAATAAAATACTGTCTACAGCCAAACCCCAGACAGATTCAGAGACACAGATGGACAGGAAAAGATTGAAAAACAGTGTTGACGTCAATTTTTATTTTCAGTGATTCTTTGGCGTACCCCTAGAGGGAGCCCTGCGTACCCCTCCTAGAGAACCACTGGCCTAGAAAAAAGACACTTATAGGGAGCACCGTAGCTCTGCAGATTTGTTCACTGTTTTCAGGTCTGAAAGACAGCATGGGGAAAAATCCAGAAACTCACAATGTTTGATTTTTGAAAAATGTATTTTTGGTCTTTGGTCAATAACAAGTATTTGGTCAATAATAAGTTCATTTTAAAACTTTAAGCTCTGTCACAAGGGTTTCACAAGCTGTTGTGGGTATTTTGGCCCATGCAGATGTTGTGAGGCTGTCGCTGGGCAACACAGACTTTCAACTCCCTCCATCTTTGAAGATGGAGGGAATTGAAGGCCTATGGGGTTAAGATCTGGAGACTGGTAAAGCTATTTCAGGACCTTGAAATGCTTCTTACAAAGCCACTCCTTCGTTACCTGGACGGTGTGTTTGGGATCATTGTCGTGCTGAAAGACCCAGCCACGATTCATCTTCAATGCCCTTGCTGAATGCCACCCCATCAGAATAGCCCTAAAAGGAGCAGGGTGGAACTTCTACAAGAACTTTCCTCTCCCTCGGTCCTCTCAGTGGCCGTGTCTCCACTGCAGTAGGACCACTCAGCGACGTCATGAGTTTCGATTGCCGCATAAGTGAAAATTTTTGTTATGGTCTTTGAGTTCTTTATAGTCCTGCTTCACAATTTTTTTTTTTTTTTACTGTTCACGGCTTAATTTGGAGTGATGAATCCCCGGTTCTTCGAGGTGAGGCCGATATGTCTTACTATATCTTTTTATTTTGCTGTTGGGCTAATGCTGTTGGACTAATGCTGTTGGGCTAATGCTGGTTGGGCTAATGCTGTTGGGCTAATGCTGTTGGGCTAATGCTGTTGGGCTAATGCTGTTGGGCTAATGCTGTTGGGCTAATGCTGTTGGGCTAATGCTGTTGGGCTAATGCTGTTGGGCTAATGCTGTTGGGCTAATGCTGTTGGGCTAATGCTGTTGGGCTAATGCTGTTGGGCTAATGCTGTTGGGCTAATGCTGTTGGGCTAATGCTGTTGGGGGCTAAAGCTGTTGGGCTAATGCTGCTGGATTTTTTTTTATGCTGGTTGTTTTGGTGCTTTCTGCTGGCGTCAGAGCCTGCTCTATCTTTAGCTGATCAGGGCCGGTGTTCTGTCGAGACGGCCCCCCCCTCGTCGAAACATTATCTAGTGCATCTGCGCATGCGTCAAAGTAGGTTTATCGAGCCATCGGATTTTGCATCTCCAGCTTCACGTGAGTAGTTTTATTTACGATAAACAAGATTACACTTGTGTATTTTGTGCTGAACACTATGGCACTAGACACTAGTGCCATAGTGAACCAGACACATGTAGTACTGGTTCAAATTCACGTGAAGATGTGGACAATAATGTAAATAAATATACGTCTTAAGTTGGCGTCTGGACTTCTGCATTAGCAACTATTGCACAATTGTGCAGTAAGATAATAAAGATGTAGTATGCACGTAGATAATATAACATTCTAAGCTACTCGCTTTTCCTTTTTAAAAGATCAAAATACTGGCTCTAAAAGTGGTGATAACGTGTTCTCTTTCAGCGGGTGGAGAGGCAAATTTCGACAAGGGGTGCACGCCATGTATTCAGTACATTAAACTAATATACTACCTTTTATTAAATCTAATTAATCATAAATATGTTGACATGTTTAATAAGTAAACATTCATAATGACTAAGCTATGGACAGTTGCTTTCGGCGGGTGGGGGTGCACATTTCAACAAGGGGGGCAAATCTCGACAAGGGTGCACTTCTCGACAGAACACCGGATTAACCTCAAGTCCCACCAGGGCCCAACGGAGTACCTAGAATGAAGGAGGGACTCTGTTTGTAAAAGTTGCTGTAAATGGCCCTGTGGGGAAGGTTCCTGCAGTGGAGACACGCACCGATGGGGCTAGCCCTGGAAAATTACCCCAAAGTTCTTGCGGCGGAAACGGGGGTTTGGTCCTCGTTCTGTAGCTTAGGTCCTGGATCATTAGCCCGTCTGTCTGTGTGGAGCGGATCCCTCTCTCAATGTGGATCTCTGAAAAAACACTCACGTGCAGACTGGGGTGGTAGGTGAGCAGGCCGTTGTCACACAGAGTCACATACTTTTTCTTCCACTCTTTGTTCAGAGATTTACCACTTTTCTTCAGCAACATGCCCTGGAAAACACAACAGAACCATCAGAGAGAGACCAGAGAGAGAGAGACAAGTGAGAGACCAGTGAGAGACCAGAGCGTCTCATCCTCCTGGTGTCATAGAAACAGTTTCAAACTTAATTTCTACAAACACATCTTTCTAAAGGAAAGCCCAGAACGTGCAACAGTCCAAACTCTGAGGTGAGAGCTTCACTCACTCAAACACAGCTCCACAGCTCGTTCTGCTGTCATTCTGACGAGTAATGTCTCTCTGTGTGTGTGTGTGTGTGTGTGTTTATGTTAGAGCCCTCTCCCCGTGGGTCACATGTGAGTGGTTGCTCTGGAAACAGAAAGTGGGTGAGACTTTAACAAGGTGTCGATGGTCACAGCTGAAGAAAGAGAAACCAGGTCAGAGGAACCTGAACGGATCTTCTGCTTCAACACTTCTTTAGACATTAGGAGGTCAGGAGAGACCAGGAGAGACAAGGAGAGAGACAAGAGAGGGACCAGGGAGAGACTAGAGAGACCAGAGAAAGGCCAGAGAAAGACCAGAGAGAGAGACCAGAGAGCACTCAGAGAGACTAGAGAAAGACCAGGCGAGAGAAACCAGAGAATCTAGAGAGAGACGAGAGAGAGACGAGAGAGAGACCAGAAGTCTTATTTGTGCGATACAAATAAACTTGCCGGTGTTTTCAGCTGAGGACATGTGTTTGTGAAGGACTTCATAGCTGCAGTCGTGTTTGAATCAAAGTCTCATTAATCTGAGACCTTTCTGCACCACTCTGGCCCTGTCCTCCCACACCCCTCTCCCCCTCTCTCCCCCATACACTGCTGTCCTCCCATCTCTCCCCCCTCCCTCTCTTTTCCATTCTCCCCCTCTTTGTCCCATCTCTCACTCTATCCTTCATCCTCCTCTTCCACCCTCCCTCCGTCTCGTCCCCCCTTTCTCCCCCTCTCGTTGTTGTCCTTCTCCCCACTCCACCTCTGTCTCCCCCCCATGTAGTCGTCCTCCTCCCCCTCTTGTCCCCCCTTTTTCCCCCCTGCCCGTCTCTCCCCCTCTCGTCCTTCCCCTCCACCCCCCCACCCCCGTCTCCAACACAAAACAGATGAAGTCGTTCAAAGTGTGAAAAATTACACGTATTAAATTCCGACAAGATTCAATTATGGAACAAATCACCTGCCGAGAAATCGAGATGGATCTGAGACACACACAGGCGCACAGAGAGACACACACACACACACAGACACACACACAGAGAGACGCACACAGAGAGGCGCACACAGAGAGACAAACAGTTAATCTCTGTGTGTGTGTCTCTATGTGTGCGTCTCCGTGTGTGTGGTCGGTTGCTTCAGTGAGACGTTAATGACCCTCGATCGTCGTCTTATCGCCGCAGAGACATCTGCGTCTCCCGGAAACCTCCTCCTCCCGTCTCTGCGGTAACAAGAGCTGTCCGTCACCGTTCAGCAAGCAATTAAAGTAGAATCCTCCCACAGTCCACACACACACACACACATGTAATGTAACCACTTAAACGGCTACATTTTTGAGTATCTAAGTGCATCTTCTCATTCTTTAACACTAACAGAAAGTAAAGGTTTGTATCATAACAGAGACAAACAGTAAAACCAAGAATTAAGGGTTTTATTGTTCATCGTTTGTTTCTGTGCCTTTTTATCATGAAGGAGTTTGGACCAAATCATTACTTTCCCTGAATATGAGTTAGATATAATTTAATATATTTTCATGAACAGAATGAGTCCAGCTCTGAAGAAATGGGGGCATCTGAGGCACTCTTAAAAGAAAATAGAAATCTGTAAAGAACAGCTCTAGGCTCCACATTGTGACTGAAACTAAAAAGGACAATAGAAAAGTCTTAGACTGGGTTTATTGGATTTATAAAGTTTATAGTATAAAGTTTATGAATTGCTTATAACATTGAGGGTTCAATGTTTATGGTCCAATAAGGCCCCGACTCCACCGGGCGCGTAAAACGGACGACGGATTCGTCCAAACATGTCCGTTTCATCTCCGTCTCCGTTATCGCCATGAGGGTGAATGGAAGTGGCTCCACTGCTCCGTCAACGGAGGGTGCAACGGACGCGGACGGACAAAATAGAAACAATCTTATTTGTTCCATCCGTCGACGCGTGTCGGGTCCGTTTTCCATTGAAAATACAATGGAATAATATGTTTTACACATTATTAAACATGTATTGATATATGCTGTAGTCCTTGGTTATAAGTATTTGTTAATGACAATGATTATTAACGAACGTGTGTTATTTTTTTCATGTATTAATTTAAATAATTGTTTCCTGATCGTACATCTACCATTTATTATTCGCGTAATGTTAATACACTAAACTTTACATACACCTCGCTCCTTCTCTCGCTCTGTCCCCTCCACCTGCGAAGCGCTCTCTCCTCACCGCACACACACATTACACACAGAGCTACTGCACTTATGAGAGACAGATCTCACAACACTGGATATGTTAGAGTTCTTTTCTCTCTCCCCTTTCCTCAATGCTTCAATATGCCGTGCTTTGCACTGATCATAGCCACAGCTCATACAAATCACACACCGCTTCTTCTATTTAAAACTATAGCGGCTGCCTGTTGCCCAAAGCCGCAGAGAGGCGAGTTGGGTCCGATAAAAGTGTATGACGCGCTAAATAAAAGTAATAGAAATAAAATAAAAGTATAGAAAACAAACGAAGAGACTGGATCATAATAAACGCTGCGGTCACAGGCCCAAACACACATGCACGCACACGCCTCCCACCACACACACACACACAGACACACACACACACAGACACACACACACACACACACACACACACACACACACACAGACACACAGCCACACAGGCGCTCTCATCAGCCAAACATTCATTTATTCACACGATGCCCAAACGTGTCTCCTACAAAAACAAAGCAGGCTGATAAACGCACGGCCAGAGCTGCGCGCTGCTGCAGCCGGTTTGACCACTAGTCCGTTTTACGGACGTCCGACGGACAACAGCCAACGCGCGTCAACTGAGACGCGCCCGGTGGAGTCCAGACCTAAGTGCTGCGGTTGTAATCTTGATATATCAATCTTTAAAATGATGTATAACATGACCACAGACTCTCGGTGAGAGCTGCACTGACACTAGATCCTGATGTCCACTAGGGGGCACACAACACCTTTCCATGGGCCATCGCGGGCGGATGTGGGTCTGGACTGAGGATGAGGGTCTGGACTGAGGGTGTGGGTCTGGACTGAGGATGTGGGTCTGGACTGAGGGTGTGGGTCTGGACAGAGGGTGTGGGTCTGGACAGAGGGTGTGGGTCTGGACAGAGGGTGTGGGTCTGGACTGAGGGTGTGGGTCTGGACAGAGGGTGTGGGTCTGGACTGAGGGTGTGGGTCTGGACAGAGGGTGTGGGTCTGGACAGAGGGTGTGGGTCTGGACAGAGGGTGTGGGTCTGGACTGAGGGTGTGGGTCTGGACAGAGGGTGTGGGTCTGGACTGAGGGTGTGGGTCTGGACTGAGGGTGTGGGTCTGGACAGAGGGTGTGGGTCTGGACAGAGGGTGTGGGTCTGGACAGAGGGTGTGGGTCTGGACTGAGGGTGTGGGTCTGGACAGAGGGTGTGGGTCTGGACAGAGGGTGTGGGTCTGGACTGAGGGTGTGGGTCTGGACAGAGGGTGTGGGTCTGGACTGAGGGTGTGGGTCTGGACAGAGGGTGTGGGTCTGGACAGAGGGTGTGGGTCTGGACTGAGGGTGTGGGTCTGGACAGAGGGTGTGGGTCTGGACTGAGGGTGTGGGTCTGGACAGAGGGTGTGGGTCTGGACTGAGGGTGTGGGTCTGGACTGAGGGTGTGGGTCTGGACTGAGGGTGTGGGTCTAGCCAAGGGGGGGCTGAGAATGTATGTCTCTGTGGGTGATCCCTCAGTGGTGGCGGTGGGTGAGTGATGGCGGCCTGTGGGACTGTGGCCTTTCCACCATCATCTGTCTGTCTCTGATTCACTCATTTACTACTTTTATATCACTCTACATCAACTTAACAGGACAGAGCAGAGATATAGGAACCTGGACTAGACCTGCTTTAGACCTGCTTTAGTCCTGCTTTAGACCTGCTTTAGACCTGCTTTAGTCCTGCTTTAGACCTGCTTTAGACCTGCTTTAGACCTGCTTTAGTCCTGCTTTAGACCTGCTTTAGACCTGCTTTAGTCCTGCTTTAGTGCTTTAGTCTTGCTTTAGACCTGCTTTAGACCTGCTTTAGACCTGCTTTAGTCCTGCTTTAGACCTGCTTTAGTCCTGCTTTAGACCTGCTTTAGACCTGCTTTAGTCCTGCTTTAGACCTGCTTTAGTCCTGCTTTAGACCTGCGTTAGACCTGCTTTAGTCCTGCTTTAGTCCTGCTTTAGACCTGCTTTAGTCCTGCTTTAGACCTGCTGTAGACCTGCTTTAGTCCTGCTTTAGACCTGCTTTAGACCTGCTTTAGACCTGCTTTAGTCCTGCTTTAGACCTGCTTTAGACCTGCTTTAGTCCTGCTTTAGACCTGCTTTAGACCTGCTTTAGACCTGCTTTAGTCCTGCTTTAGTCTTGCTTTAGACCTGCTTTAGACCTGCTTTAGACCTGCTTTAGACCTGCTTTAGTCCTGCTTTAGACCTGCTTTAGTCCTGCTTTAGACCTGCTTTAGACCTGCTTTAGTCCTGCTTTAGACCTGCTTTAGTCCTGCTTTAGACCTGCTTTAGACCTGCTTTAGTCCTGCTTTAGACCTGCTTTAGTCCTGCTTTAGACCTGCTTTAGACCTGCTTTAGTCCTGCTTTAGTCCTGCTTTAGACCTGCTTTAGTCCTGCTTTAGACCTGCTTTAGACCTGCTTTAGACCTGCTTTAGACCTGCTTTAGTCCTGCTTTAGTCCTGCTTTAGACCTGCTTTAGTCCTGCTTTAGACCTGCTTTAGACCTGCTTTAGACCTGCTTTAGACCTGCTTTAGACCTGCTTTAGTCCTGCTTTAGACCTGCTTTAGACCTGCTTTAGACCTGCTTTAGACCTGCTTTAGTCCTGCTTTAGTCCTGCTTTAGACCTGCTTTAGTCCTGCTTTAGACCTGCTTTAGACCTGCTTTAGACCTGCTTTAGTCCTGCTTTAGTCCTGCTTTAGTCCTGCTTTAGACCTGCTTTAGTCCTGCTTTAGACCTGCTTTAGACCTGCTTTAGACCTGCTTTAGACCTGCTTTAGTCCTGCTTTAGACCTGCTTTAGACCTGCTTTAGACCTGCTTTAGACCTGCTTTAGTCCTGCTTTAGTCCTGCTTTAGACCTGCTTTAGTCCTGCTTTAGACCTGCTTTAGACCTGCTTTAGTCCTGCTTTAGACCTGCTTTAGTCCTGCTTTAGACCTGCGTTAGACCTGCTTTAGTCCTGCTTTAGTCCTGCTTTAGACCTGCTTTAGTCCTGCTTTAGACCTGCTGTAGACCTGCTTTAGTCCTGCTTTAGACCTGCTTTAGTCCTGCTTTAGACCTGCTTTAGTCCTGCTTTAGACCTGCTTTAGACCTGCTTTAGTCCTGCTTTAGACCTGCTTTAGACCTGCTTTAGACCTGCTTTAGTCCTGCTTTAGTCCTGCTTTAGTCTTGATTTAGACCTGCTTTAGTCCTGCTTTAGACCTGCTTTAGACCTGCTTTAGACCTGCTTTAGACCTGCTTTAGTCCTGCTTTAGACCTGCTTTAGACCTGCTTTTGACCTGCTTTAGTCCTGCTTTAGTCCTGCTTTAGACAGGACTAAAGCAGGACTAAAGCAGGTCTAAAAGTTTCTCAGCTCTGACCAGTTTCACAAAGATGTCATCGAAACTTCACTTTAAATTAACTGTTTTCCACTTTCTGATATGTCTCTCCTGGTCTCTCCTGGTCCCTCCTGGTCCTTCCTGGTCCCTCCTGGTCTCTCCTGGTCTCTCCTGGTCTCTCCTGGTCCTTCCTGGTCTCTCCTGGTCTCTCCTGGTCCCTCCTGGTCCTTCCTGGTCCCTCCTGGTCTCTCCTGGTCTCTCCTGGTCCCTCCTGGTCTCTCCTGGTCCTTCCTGGTCCCTCCTGGTCTCTCCTGGTCTCTCCTGGTCCTTCCTGGTCTCTCCTGGTCTCTCCTGGTCCCTCCTGGTCCTTCCTGGTCCCTCCTGGTCTCTCCTGGTCTCTCCTGGTCCCTCCTGGTCTCTCCTGGTCCCTCCTGGTCCTTCCTGGTCTCTCCTGGTCCTTCCTGGTCCCACCTGGTCTCTCCTGGTCCCTTCTGATCTCTCCTGGTCTCTCTCTGGTCCTTCCTTGTCTCTACTGGTCTCTCTCGGTTTTCTCCTGGTCCCTCCTGGTCTCTCCTGGTCTCTCTCTGGTCCTTCCTGGTCTCTACTGGTCCCTCTCTGTTTTCTCCTGGTCCCTCCTGGTCCCTCCTGGTCTCTCCTGGTCTCTCCTGGTCCCTCCTGGTCCCTCCTGGTCTCTCCTGGTCTCTCCTGGTCTCTCCTGGTCCTTCCTGGTCTCTCCTGGTCTCTCCTGGTCCCTCCTGGTCCTTCCTGGTCCCTCCTGGTCTCTCCTGGTCCCTCCTGGTCTCTCCTGGTCCTCCTGGTCCCTCCTGGTCCCTCCTGGTCTCTCCTGGTCTCTCCTGGTCCCTCCTGGTCTCTCCTGGTCCCTCCTGGTCCTTCCTGGTCTCTCCTGGTCCTTCCTGGTCCCACCTGGTCTCTCCTGGTCCCTTCTGATCTCTCCTGGTCTCTCTCTGGTCCTTCCTTGTCTCTACTGGTCTCTCTCGGTTTTCTCCTGGTCCCTCCTGGTCTCTCCTGGTCTCTCTCTGGTCCTTCCTGGTCTCTACTGGTCCCTCTCTGTTTTCTCCTGGTCCCTCCTGGTCCCTCCTGGTCCCTCCTGGTCTCTCCTGGTCTCTCCTGGTCTCTCCTGGTCCCTCCTGGTCCCTCCTGGTCCCTCCTGGTCTTACCTTCATGGATGTGTCCGAACACGTGTAGTTTAGGTTGGACTCTCCTCTGGACCGTGTTGAGCAGCTCCATGCAGCCCACACGCTGCATCTTCTTTGGAACCCAGTCCAGGAACC